GGGGGGGGGTGTTATTTTATTTGTACAGGGGTATTTTTTTTAAGTGTACAGGGGTGTGTATTATTTTATGTGTATGGGGGGAATGCATTATTTTGTGCAGGGGTAGTATTTTTTTGTGTATGGGGGGTGAGTGCATTAGGCTCCATTCACACCTGTATCTTTACTTGCGATTAAGGATTCCTGCATCAGGAACTTGTGTTTTCCTTCAGCAGGAATGCCTAATCTGATGTTTACAAGCGGCCGCTGTCACCCATACAAGTTAAAGGAGAACTATGGGGGTCAGTGTTTTTCCCCATACTTCTCCTAAGGGTAACGGGAGGACACAAACTAGCGTCCTCCCGTCACCCTAAGCTCAGTATACTGAGACGCTGAAGCGGATACCGACAATTATGTCTGGATCCGCCCAGCTGCGTGAGTGACAGCTGGCTCTGCCTATCTAGAGGCAGAGCCAGCTGTACCTGCTTTCTCCCCCGTTCGTTCCGCCAGTCAGCGCTGGAGGATCGGAGCGGGGAGGGGGGAATCCAGTCCCTCCCCTGTCACGGCAGAGAGCTGTGACAGGATCGAGAGGTGAGCGAACGCCGGTATGTGTTCGCTCACTTCCCGATCTACTGAGCTGACCTGTGACAGTCTCATTGTCACAGGTCGGCTAGAACTATGAGGTGAGTGAAAAGCACTCGCCTCATAGTTCTCCTTTAATGATCAGGTGACAGCAGCTGCATGTAAACGCCTGCACAGCGCATGTAATGATATGTGATATGATTACATTTGGTTAGGAATCAACCGCTCTCCCTGGACCCATCGATTGTGCATCCAGGGAGAGTGTTTTCTAACTGCATGTAATCATATCACATACCATTATATACGGTGTGCAGGAGTTTGCATGCAGCGACTGTCACCTGATCATTAACTTTTTTCCCGCTGCAGGAAAACCCAAGTTCTTGATGCAGGAATCCCTAATCGCAGCTAAACTTACAGATATGAATGGAATGGGACCTTATTGTGTGTATATTAGGGTCTGTGGTACCATACTGGATATAGTTAAATTTTATTTTAAAGTATGAAATTTGGCAAGCAGCCCCCATGGGAAAAATACATTTGTTGAGTGGTCCCCGAGGAAATTGATCCCTGAGGATCATATCATCTTCCTGTCAGCTCTTTACTCTACGACTAAGCTCTGACTGAGCAAAACACATCAGAGGGGAAGCGCAGGTGGATTGTCTGTGTACCAGGAATTTGTTTATAACAAATACATGGTTATCGATTTGATGATCAGCTTTTTTCTTCCATTTGAGAAGGAAATTAATATTTTATTGTACGGCAGTTCTGGTCGTTTATGAGCAATCTATTCCTTTCAGCGCTTGACTATTAAACTTTTGACCTTTATTATCAGCTCATCCTGTTTTCTCATATTGATGGCTTTGCTAACACCATTTAATTGATATAAGATGCGCACATTGCTTTGCATATAATGATTTGTCAGAAGTATACCAAAATAGCACATTGTGTATATGCTTTCTATTCTCAAATGTATCAAAAATAATCACGCAGTCAGCACAGAGGCTGGATAAATAAAGCTTCATGATAACCATATACTAACCAAGTGCTTACATTGATAATTGGACATTTCACTCCGTTATTTTGTTTCTTTTCTCTAGGGATCTTCACTTCCTTCCCTATCAGAGTATGCTCCACCAACAAATACAAGTTCAGACCACCTAATCGCCTGCAACCCATTTGATGACGACTATAGTATACCTCCTTTTTCAGGGTACACTTATTTTGGTAAACTTGGATATTCCAACATTGAAAGCTTTAATACTTTCAGGATGCCTCCAAATACTTCACCAAAAAGGCTTTCTCGCGGTTTTGGCAACCAGATGTTACGAGATCAGCCACCACCTTTTGCAAAAGACCTAAAAATGATCGGAAAATCCTTTCCCTTTATTGTGGGGATGCAAGAGAAATCGCATTTTGAAAACGAGTCATTTTATTACAGTGCGTTAGGTCAAACGATCACAATGCCAGGACAGCACTTTCGAGCATATCAGAATGAAGAAGACCTCCATCTCATGACAAGCCTAAACTCTGCTCCAAGAATTGACTTTCAGCTTGCCTCTTATAGGCCCCAAGGTGTTAAAATGAATGCCAGTCAAATTGACAGCAGCAGTTCATTTACATCTGCACAAGCACACTTCTTGCCTTCAAGAATATCCAGCTCCAACCAAGATTTAGTTCTTCTACCAATTAACCATTCAAGTTCTGCAGGACTTCAAGACAAATTGAACCTTGATGCACCAACTCATCCTACTTCAAGTCCAAAACATAATAGCAAACATATGGGAGATCTAGAGAATTCCCAGGCTGATGCAATAGACCTGTCTGATTGTGGTCAGCCTAAAGGAATCCGTAACAGACCCGCACTTTCCAGACTGGCAAAGACAGATGTAACACCTAGTGAGAAATGCAATAGGTGGCTTCTCCATTCTGACTTTTGTGGTAATTTTTCCGCAGATAATTTGAACCCATGTGGCATATGTTCTGCTGAAGTAAATAATGTTGCGGATGCTATAATGTGCGAAGCCTCCTGTCAGAAGTGGTTTCACCGAACGTGTACAGGAATGACTGAGGTGGCCTACGCTCTACTCCGTGCTGAAACCTCAGCTATTTGGATCTGTGATACCTGTGTGGCAAAAAAAGATATTCAGCTGGTTCGCATAAAAAAGTAGATCATGTAGTAAGTCGTCAACCATTTTTCATTATTATTCCCTTTTTCTTTTTTTTACAGCGCCACTATAGGAAGAATGGTATAAGATAAGCTACTCTTTGTGTAGTGTGCTGTAACCCGGTGCAATGGATCCAAAGCTGCAGGCTATGATTGTACCCAATATTGCACAAACTGTCCTATCCATAGTAGATCAAGCTTAATCATTGCTATGGTGATTGTTTTGGTTTAATTAATGCCGAAGAACAGAAGATTAGAAATGATTGTATGTGGATTGGGATCATTTCCAATTGACTTTGTTGGGCTCTACCCACTGATGCAAACATTTTTGAGTCATTCTCCGAAATCTCTTGCACTAAATGGATTTTCCTTTTCATTAGAGGGCTGCTTACAAAGACAGTTCAAGCACGTAGACCTCAAAGGAACTTGGTTATAATCTACTGAAAAACTACCTTATATTGATGGAAATGATGTGGTTATGCAGAAGGTTAATACTAGAGATTGTATATTTTTAAGCATGGCACTTGGTACACAATCCCTTTTGAATGTGAGTTCTGGATAGAACAAGGAAAAGTCTTGAATATTTATTTTTAAAAATGGCACTTTGAATATAACTTCTTGGTTTTGGATTGAATTTGTGAAACTGGTTTACATGTTAGCATCGCCTATATTTTTAAAACAAGTGCCTTTTTCAAGATGTGCTGTAACCAATTTCACAAACATCAAGCCGTCTGATAAATTACAAAGGTGTAATTGTGAACAGACTATATGCAATAAAAGCCAAATATCTAGAAAGGTGGTTATTGCTTATTAGTGTATACAGAGCAAAGATGACCATAATGTTTTTTGCATAAAGCAAAGCATTGGTTAGAAAAGCTCTATAAAGCAACATATGTTAAAGGATATCTGAAGCCAAAACTTTTATTTTTATTTATAGATAGATTAGAGGAGGGTTAAAACTGCTGTCAGTTTGTTTCGGGAGGTTTGTTTTACCACTTGTGTGTCATCAGGGAAGTTCTCCTTAACTTCCTGCCCTGTTGACTCAACAGGGAGAAAGAGAGAGGATATATTTCCAATGTGAAGGAAAACCCTTCTTAAGCTGGCCATACACTTATAGATTGCCTGCAGATCTTCTATAGTCAGATGGAAAAAGTTCAACAGATTCCTTCATCTACGCTAAACTGTGTGGATGGAGGAATCTCCCGCTGGGCCAAGCTTCAGTATCTCGCTAGTCGGACCTGCTGGCTGTCCAAAATACCTGAACAGTCTGATTGGATGCATGCATTGTTCAGGTACTTTGAGAGCCAACGTAGCCGACTAGCAACATACTGAAGCTTGGCCCCTGTAGGAGATTCCTCCAGCCACACAGTTTAGCGTAGATGAAGGAATCTGTTGAACTTTTTCCATCTGACCATAGAGAATCTGCAGATAATCTTTAGGTGTATGGCCAGCTTTAGACAGTTGTCATGGAAACAAGTGTCCTCATTGGGAAAACTACCCCTTTATTCCTGTTCTGGTGGCAACTAAAAATTTGGGATTTACTTCCACCTCCAGTTTCTGTGACATTGGTGATCAGTACATTTTGGAGAGTGACACTCTCTCTATAATGTGAACACCGACAGCAATAAAAAAGATATGACAGTAGTTTTATCCCCCCACCACTCTTTCCAAGAAAAAATTGCCTTTAGTTATACTTTAATGGGAAACCGAGATCATGAGGTGCCAGTATGTAGCTGTCATTTCTATGCAAATCCAGACTTTTTGAAAGTCTGAGCATGTGGTGTTTGTTCTTCAATGTGATGTTGGTTTCTAATGTTTAATGAGCATCTGGTTGGTTTTATCTTGATAAACACCACCTTCAGAAAAGATTGACTTTTATCTTATCGTTCCAACTTGGAGTGGAATACCCACCTTTATGACCAAATTTAGAGTGATTAGAAATGAACTGTGTTCAGTGTAATTTCCTGAGTAGATGTCCACAGTAATATAGTATAACACAATTTAGATGTTCATGAGAGTCCTCAGGTCTTTTAGGTAGTAAGTCTTCTGCATTTTGTATATATTTGAAACGGTTCTCTAATTTAACTCGTACCACTTACAATGTGTGCTTTGTCAGTGATGTACAGCCTTGTAGTGATTCACCTCCATTAAGGTGCCAATATACTCTACGACCCTCGCAAGACTTTTGTCTTGCGAGGGTTGTAAAGTACTTAAAAAAACGTACCATCTGCCCATCTTGGACAGGCAGATCGTACTTGCGATCATCGCAAGCCCGCCCCCCTGAGGGGCGGGCTTCCGATGACTGCAATGCTGAACGGCCCATTCGGCAGTGATCTCTCGATCATGTTAAAAACCAGCCGAAAATCGTACGATTCTCGGCTGGTTTTCCAACATGCTCGATATACATAAGTCGTGCGACCGTACATTAGAAACGGTCTCCCGCCTTCCATACACTGCACGATTCTCGGGATTTCCCGCGATTCTCGTACGAGAATCGTGCAGTGTATGGGCACCTTTAGAGAGCTTTGTGAGATCCAAGCCTGGCTCTGAGTAAGACAAGAGCGGTTATTAGGGGAGTTGCTGACATAAGTAGTCATAGTGCTGAATAGATATTTGTGGAATAAAATCCTTTGATCAGTTTGTAACTCTTGGAAAAGCTGATTATATTGGCACATTCAGCCTGATTGTAGCTTAAGTACTCGAATAAAAAATAGTGTGGACGGACCAATAAGGAGAAATTATTTTGACGGCTCAGGTTTTTTTTTATTCATGGTACTCCAGTTACATCTTGCTGGGTGTTTAAATGAAAAATATGTTTATTGGTTGCGCAGAATCTTCTTTTTGTTTTTCTTTAGGCCATATTGTTTTCATATAAAAATCATGATTATTTGTTTCCATCTTCCCAGTAAAAAGGTATTTGCATGAACAACATTATCCCTATTTTAAAAATGTCCACACCAGAGGGTCTGCATGGAGAGCGGGATGCCTGTATGTTTGTCACTGCTACTGTATATAAATGGTTGTCAGGCGTCATTGGATAACCCTTTACGAGCCTTTTCCTTGGGCGTTGCAGGGATTTTACTAATACTGTAAAAGCGCTGCAAGAATACAGCTTTAGAACCACTGTTCTGAATGTACGCCTAGACATAACATGCACAGTGGTTTATGAGATTAGCAAGTTTTAATTAACCTACAAAATTCTGAAGCCATCATCATTCATACTGTACTCCCTAATGGACACCAGGAATGGTTTCATATGTATGGTGGTAAGGAGATGTACAATTGAAAATTGAGTTGGCTTATTTACTTTCCAATAGTTTAATCAAAAATAAAACCTTTCCAAACTGCATCAAATCTCCATGTAATTATTAAAGTAAGTGTATAAAAAACTATAAAATTTTCCCTTTTCTTGCAAAATCTTTGTGACTCAGCTGATCTCTCCTTCACCTCCTTGAAAAAGGTATGGCGGTAATGTACCTACTGCCGCTGGTTGGCGGAGTTGTAGAATACAGGGCTGCTGGTTTTGAAGACATGGAGATAATTCACTCCCTGCTGTTCCTGAAGCGAGACCTGGCCATCTTCATAGTCAAACCAGACAGGGAGTCCTTATATGCTACGCAGTGTTTTGTAGATGGTCAAGGATGGAACCATGACCCGTTTACTCATTTCAGTACTTTGAAGGACAACTCCACCTTTTGTTTTAACAATAAATATTGTAATGAGCCTAGCACACCTATTACATCAGCAATATAATCATACTTTTTTCCTACATAAACTAAAATTATGCCGTGGTCTGCCTAACTTATAGCTGAAGTAAAGTTGTAAAACCTAAGGTGAACTTTTGGCATAATGTGCAACTATGTGCAGCATACTAGCACCTTATGGCATACTCGGTATACAAGGGTATAGTAACTACACTGACTATACAAGTATGGCACACTTACAAGTGTGCTCTCCTCCAGCCGCTGCTTCACCCACCACTGCCGGCAGATGCTGCTTCGTCCCCTGTTCTCTTCGATCATTGGGCTGCCTCTGATTATATAACTCCTGTGCATGCATACAGGAGTTGCATCGTCCTTGGCACCCGGCTTCATTTCTGGAATATTACAGATGCTGGAAGAGACCCCGATATGCGCAGTACACGGGACACGAGAAATAGAAAACTGCTAGAGGTGAGAATAAGCTGTTTTGGCAGAAAATACATGCAAAATCTCTTCTGCCAAAAGCCATATTTTCTAGTAGTTTTCTATTTTTTAGAGCAACATTCAATGTACCTGAGGAAACTCACTCCTGCCTTCTCCCGTTCTGTTCATTCCGCACACCGATTGGTGAGAGACAGGATGGGAATGAAAAGCAACCATAGTGTATATAACAAATAAGCCATATTTTTTTGTTTGGCACTACTGATGATGGTGACATCACCATCATCATGGGGTCCAAACACAGAGAGTGTCTGGTTTAATGTAAACGCAGGCTCCTTGGGCAAAGTGAACTGATGTTCAGTATGTACAGGCTGTAGTGATCTACAGTGAGAAGCTTACATATATATTTTTGAAACGGAAGTGATCTACAGTGAGAAGCTTGCATATATATTTTTGAAACGGAAATGTTTTTGGTGACGTATAAATAATACCATGTTGACATGTGTTGGTTAACCTATTACTCCACACTTAACCCTTCACATGACAGCTGTTTTCCAAAAAAGGTCCAAACTTTGGCTCGTGCAATAGCAGAACACTAACCTGTAGGGACCTGGCTGGAGAATCCACGGCACACAATGGGAGACACAAGCATCTGACACTCCAGGAATGGTTGACTGCTACAGACTTTGTCAGAGGTTGTAGTGCTTGAACACAAGGTTCTGCTGGAGCGGTAAGTATTCAGTGTCTTCTAGTGCGGGGGCCAAGCTTTGTATTTTTTGGGGAAAGCAACAGGGTCCCTTTAAAGCAAACTTGTCGTTACACCCACGTGGCCAGTACAAGCCAGGCTTGTAATAAAAATGTAATCCAGGCTCTTAGAGGCCTAGACTACCATGTGTAATAATCCCTAATTGGCTCTATAGTAGGCAGTGTGGGGAGGAGGCAATGGGCTTTCTCAAATCTCAAAGCCTTGTAAGATAAAAATAGGAATGTAGCCAGTTTTTGCTGACATTGAAGCCAAGAGTTATTAAAAACTTGATGCATACTAACTTATTTCCTCTCATATTCAAACCCAGAAAAATACCTGAATAAATAAACTTAATGTCTTGTCTTGGTTTAATACTTGCCAGAATATGTGTATAATCTTTAAATCCTCTTGTCATCTTACAATAATAACAGGAGTATGGGTCTCATTCTTTATTTGGTTATTAAACAGAAACTTTAATTTTAGCTTCATCTTACAGTGGAAAGATTGGTCATACTCTTTTGCCCAAGCATCTCCATCAAGTTCTCAGGGACTACATCATATTAGCATCAGTGGAGGCCAAATGCCTGACCTTAAGGCCCATTCACACCTCTATGTTGGACAAAATGTGCTGGTTAAGATGCACATAGCATTACTTACCGGGGGTGCAAATTCTGTTCTTATTCTCTAGGATTCTAATGCCC